AAAGCGGAACTGTCCCGCTCAAAAGTGAGCTCGAAGTCGACAAAATCTTGTATGGAGTCGAGTCGACTCAGAATCAACTCCACCATATAAAATCGATAAAAATCTCGAGTCAACTTCAAGTTCTGAATAGATCAGCCTAAGTTAAGGGTCAAAATAGAGAGTTGGTAAGATAAGTGAAGTTGGCTTGTTGCTCAGAACTTTGCTTTTCCGATACCATCTTCCTGGGAAAGTCTCAGTCTCGGTCTCGAGAATTTGTCTAGACCGAGAAATCAAGAAATCATACTCAAAACACCATAAAAAAAAAAAAAAAAAAAAATTGAGACAAGATTAAAGTGCCCCGAAATGCCTCAAAAACCGTGCCTACAACTTAAAAATATTTTATTTAAATTTTGTAACTTCTTCGATTTTAATTCAAAATAATAAAATTTGATTTTAAAAAATTTCATTAAATCATATTAATTGCAATTTAATACAAATTTCATATTATTCTATCTCGTTTCAGATTTAATTGAAGCACATCTGCAAAAGTTTAACAATTTTGTGTACAAACAACATTTCAGTCATCAAAAATTAATTCAAAATTTACAAAATTGTTCAAAAACACATCAAACAACAATTTTAAATAATATGTGAAATTTACATAATTATTTTAGATCAAAAAAATAGCCACAATTCCCCATAAATTATACGAATAAATTGAATATTAAGCAATAAAAAATAATCGGTCGATTGTCCGCGTACAGTAAACAATTAACGGTTGTGTGCAAACATAATTAAAATTTTAACATTAAAATATTAATCAAAATTTGTGCAAATATAATAAAAAACTTATAAATCATAAATTGATTTTATAGTTAAAAATTAAAATAAATTTGTAGTGTAATTTTTGTGGATTGAAAAAGTTTTGCGAGATAAAAATTTTAAATAATATTAATTTAAAAGTTGAAATATAACTGGATTTAGGATAATAAAGGTAAGAAAATGAATTTTAATTTTTTTAAAAAATAATTAAAGTGTGAATTTTTCAAAAATTAATTTTTTGAATTTTTATCTTTGAATTTTGCATAAAATTAAAATCTGGAGTTTTTTTGAAATTAATATTTTTTTAAACTTCAAATTTTAAATTGTTGAAAATTCAAATTTAATTTTTTAAAAAAATTCATATTGATAATTTAATAAAAAAATTCAAAAATAAAAATTTTTGACCAGGTTATTAAAATAAGAATTTTTATCATTTTTTTAAAATAATAATTTTTTAAAAAGAAATTTAAAAACTAAAATTCAAAAAAGCCAAATTTTCAAATTAATGTTTAAATTACTGCAAAGTTTCCATGACTGCAAAACCTCCTCCAATTCCAAACCAGCCAAACATGCTTTCATGATCCTAATTAAGTCACGGAAGCATTCCATCATGTCAACAACGTTCAAAAAAGAAGACACAACAAATACAAAATTTGACAGAATTTAAATTGCATTAGATTCAATTTCATCTCGTCGACCCTTTTTTTCAGCTGTCGGTGCTTCTTGTTGCTCCAACTCATGTGATTTTCGTGAATGATTCGCGCGTAAATCTTTTATTGCTGCTTTTTTAACAGCACAGCAAATAAGTGTGCATGAGAATTTTTATGAATAGAAAGAAGAAAGTCTATCAAAAATTCCGTTATCGTAGAAATAATAAATTCTTGTTAGATCTGCAAAATTCAATTTCTAAAAAAAAAGTTACTTTTTTCTATTTTTTTGTTACATTTTTATTCTCATTTTGATGTATAAAAATTATTTTTATCGATCTATATCGGTAATATTTTTGATGGGCTTGTGAAAATTTAGGAGGATAAAAATTTGAGTTTTTGGGAATAGAGCGCATTTTTTGCCATTTTCGGGACATTTATGCTTGATTTGTATTTTTGTCCTTTTTCGGTTCATATGCACTGGAAATGAGGCTCACAGCCGTTCTTTGTAGGCTACGTGCAGCAATATCAGCAAAGAGTGGTTCTGATCCCACTATAAATTGTAGGTCTAGGTTTGAGTGCAGTTGTTTGGTGTATCCTCTCTGTTCTGTTGTCTCAAGAAGTTTAAAAAATCACTGTTCAAAAGTTTAACCGAAATTATTTAAAGTTATGTGCAGCTTTGACTGTCTCAAATGGCACAAGTCGGTTAATTAAAGCCGGTCTTACTCTGGTAGGGTGCTGGATCAAAATCAAAGCCAACACCATACCAGAGTCATGCCAGCTTGGGTATTCGAGTACCCTAATGGTATCCTTCCTCCACCCTAAAATGCTCTTCTGGTTCAAGTCAAAATCGAGGATGTAAAACTGATCAACGGTTATCCAAAATTCAAATTATCAATTCCGCACCTTAAGTCAAAGTGAGCACCTTACTAAGTTCAACATACCAAATGCCCTCCTAAAAATAAATTTCAATATGCTCCGAAAAAATTTCCAAACTAAAGAAGAAGCCAAGAAAAAAAATTGATTCGAAAAAGAAATAAAATAGAAAATTTTTACGATATCTTCATCAGATTTGGATTCTCATTCAGAGCTAAAAAAAATGCTTGCCAAATCCAACAACAAAAAGACTCATGGAATTTTGTTTTTTCAATAGGATTTGCAGCATAAAAATAAGTAAAAATTGGATAAAGACAAATGGAATTTACGAAAAGAAATTGAAAGAATGAGGAAGAAAATTCTCACCGTAAGGCACACACAAAAAAAAATATTTCGACATGTTCGTCGTCGATGTGTGGATTTTGCACTCAGCCTTGAATGAAATCTCATTCAGCCTTCCTCTTTACTTTTTTTCCGTATTGAATTTAAATCAACAGCTTTGTTGAGTCGTATCCAAGTTGTATCATGAGATTTCTTTAAGGATAGATGCTGCCATGATATTAAGGAGGTGGAAGTAAATGAGGAATTCAGGGGGATTTGTAATTGGAATGCATTGAGTCTACTTTTATCCCATGGAAGTGTTTTTGAAATACTTTGAGTTACCTGGATTTGTATTGAGGATGTATGATGACTAAACGGTTGCTGATTTGGTTCTACGACTCTGATTCTGGTGGTTTTAGTGAGGAACCCTTAAACTTTAGTTCAAAATATTTTTACATACTAGTTTTGGAATTGAAGCCACCTTTAATTCCAATTTTAAGATTCAACTAGGACAGTGATGGCCAACCAATGTGCCATGGCACACTAGTGTCCTGCGAAAAAATTCTGGATATCAAACGAGCCATACGCCGTGTGTGGTTTTGGTCATAGCTAACAGTCAAGGTGTGCCGTGGCACAGAAAAGGTTGGGCACCACTGAACTAGGGAACTGGGGAACCCAAGTAAGAGTTGCTTACGTATCTAATGAATTAGCCTAAGCTATGCCTTATACCAGTGATGGACAACCCATGTGCAGTGGCACATTAGTGTGCTGCAAAAAATTTCCAAAGACCCTTGAAACCGTTTGTTGCATGCATTTTTGGTAATGGGTTAAAACAAAGTTTTGCCGTGCCACAAAAAAAAGGTTGTTCACCACTGCCTTACACAATAGCTCTAAGTACTCTTAAGTGCTTAACATAAGATTATCCTTACTTACTCATCTTACTTATACTTACTTCGACAACCTTACAGATCAATTGTAATGACCACATTTGATAGAACACTTTCCTTATACCCCAAATTGTATTTAATCAATTCTAGGTCAGGACAACTCGAGTAGGCTTAAAAACCTACCCTCAGTGTAGGATGAACCCTAATGTATACCAAGCAACCGATCCAACATCTCTGCTTCACCTCTGAACTCCTCCATAACATTAAATTATCCACAATCTTAAATCCCATGCAGACTCTATCCATATAAATACCATTCAACTCAAACTTCCAACTGACTCTCATCAAGAAGAACACACCTCGAAAAAAAAAGTTTGTTGACTTTTCCGATAAGAGAAGAGCAAAAAAATGCTTGAAATGTAGAAAATTAAAAGTCACAATTGTCATGGGAAGTCAGACATCTTCCATCGCATTTGCCTCTTATTTTACTCGGCTGCTCTCATGCTGTGGGCCATGAAAATTGAAATAGACTGTCGACGAGTCGAAAGGTCATGCATGAGAGCTTCGAGAGCTTTTGCTTACTGTCACTATGTTTGAATTAGAAGCTGAGAGGAATGTCATGTTGATTTTTTATGGTGATAAAGTAGATTGGGTGATTATTGTGGATTGGATGAGAAGTAGTTGCTTCATTGTAAGCATAGATTACAGTTCTGTACATTAAAATAAGAAATTTAAACGAAATCGCACGCCGACAACGAATTTTGATTCAAAAATAATCAAAAAGTCCAAAACCGCACGCTAGCAACGACTCTTGACACAAAATAAGTAAAAACTGTCTAAAACCGTTAACAAAGCACGACTTTTGACACAAAATGTCTCAAACCGTACGCAAATAACGACTAATGACATCATTACATCCCCAAAAGCCTTCCTCAGCCTCCTATACCTAATGCAACAGCTAAGCCCCGAAGCAAATCCTCAACATTCTAAATATAAATCCAAGAATCTACAAAACAAGTTCGTTGTTATTCACATCATGTCTAAAATGATGACTACTTATCCCCAATAGAACCTCTTTAATGTTCCTTTGTAACCCGAAACTGAGAATATCAGCCACCCACATCTGAAAATGTTGTTCCTTTTTTCTAGGAAATAAAAAAAGGAAAGCTTTTTAAGGGCACATAATTCATCATGTCACTCAAAATCTCAAACATTTGCGACTTAATATCCATGTCTATATCCATTTCTAGCATGTATCCTTCAGTCATTCATCCTTGCTGATCCATGAGACACCAATATTTTTTTCTATCCTATTTCAAATTTTTTTTTGACAGTATAAAATGGGTAAATGGGGATGGAGAGGAAATTAGGAGAAGATTTTTGATAAGGATCTGAGGAAATGAGACGCAAGTCTTGAAGGATGTGGTTGATTTTGGTCAATTTTCCATCATATGAGACCAATAGTCGTATGCTGCACACGATTTTGAACCATTTTGTTCAAGTGAGGCCAAGAGTCGTTACCAATGCACGATTATGGTCCACATTCACTCATATGAGATCAAGAGTCGTTGCCAGTGCACCATTATGGTCCACAGCCACTAATATAGGATCAATAGTCGTTACCAGTGCACGATTTTGGTCCACATTCACTCATATCAGATCAAGAGTCGTTGCCAGTGCACTATTATGGTCCACATTCACTCATATGAGATCAAGAGTCGTTGCCAGTGCACCATTATGGTCCACATTCTCTCATATGAGATCAAGAGTCGTTGCCAGTGCACCATTATGGTCCACATTCACTCATATGAGATCAAAAGTCGTATCCAGTGCACCACTTTGGTCCACATTCACTCATATAAGATCAATAGTCGTTACCAGTACACGATTATGGTCCACATCCACTCATATCAGATCAAAGTCGTAAGCAGTCTACGATTTTGCTCAGGCATTTGAGTCCAAGAGTCGTAGCCAGCGCACGATTTTGATCATTTCTACCACAAGGAATCCAAGGTTAACCACACAACACCATGAACCGTTATATGTGTACAATTTTAGACATGCTTACCAAGCAATATATCAAAAAATCAGTCCCCAAATCCAAATCGATCCAATTTCAAGACCAAAACACAACTTTTTTTTTACCTCAAATGTGTAATGTTTCCCACATGACATTCATTTTCTTCTTCATCCATCTTCTCCTTCTTCCTTCTTTTTTCCATAAAAGCGAAGGCAATGACAAGCATCGCATTAACATTGGCAATATGAGTACAAATATTCCCTAATGCATGCCTTCACACATCGTATTGTGCCTTACATTTATGTGTTTCATTTTGCCGAATGATTTGATTTTGTTTCACTCACCTTTGTGGAGCTGTGGCACTTGGAATGTTCATTTTGAATTGGAATTGAGTGGCATTTTACGTGTTTGACTTTGGACGATTGAAATGACAAGTTTGGATACCAATAGTCGTTGTGTGCGTACGGTTATGGTCAAAATTCTAGTTCATGTACCAAAAGTCGTGATCTGCGTAAGGTTTTGAACCAATTTTTGAATTCAGTACCAAAAGTCGTTATCTATGCACGGTTCTAGGACAATTCTAACAATCCCTATACAAGAACCTTCCATAAATCATACCCAAAAATACAGAAAAAATTCAATTCCCTTCTTATTCTTATCCATCCATCAATCAATCAATAAATTTAATAAAATAATATTTTTTACGACCAGAGTGCTTTAAATCAGCTGCAGGGCATTTCCTAATGTGCGTTAGAAAAATAAATATTTTATGGCTGTCGGAACGGAAGGCAGCAGAAGAAGATGTCATAAAAATTTCCAAAAAAAAGAAGAGGCACAAAAAATTTAAGACGAGATTAAAGTTATGGCTTTAAGGATGGATTTAAGAGATGGATTTGAGTTCCCTTGTGATGATATTGACTAGTTTGTGTATAAAATCGTGTGCTGTGTGCGAATTTTGACCACTGTTCACTAGTCTGTGCCTAAAATCGTGTGCTGTGTGCGACTTTTGACCACTTTTAACTAGTTTGTGTCTAAAATCATGTGCAGTGTGCGACTATTGACCAATTTTCTAGTTTGTGCCTAAAATCGTGTGCTGAGTGCGACTATTGCTAGTTTTAACTTGTTTATGTCTAAAGTCGTGTGCTAAGTCCGACTATTGACACATTTTTAACAATTTATTCTTCTTCAGTTCCTGCAAAAAGCTAATTTTAAATTCAAAACTCTGCCAATATATTTTTAATATTCCCTCAATTTATAACATCCTCCAGTGCCTCCCACAATAAAAATATTATTCAAAGGGGGAAAGAAGCACAAAAGAGAGAAAGCCTGAATTATTCATCAAAACACAGAGTATCATATGCTGAGTACAATATTGATTGAATTTGAGTCTTTTTTTTTCCTCCTTTCGTTGTGGCTTTTCACGAACATAAAAGAGACTCAGTCACAGTTGAAAATGTACAGCAAGTACACAAATAAAATCTCATTCATTAAAACAAAGGACAAAAAGGCTTGTGACTGTAAGGTTTTGTCTTGTTTGAGTCGAAAGAGTCTTGTGGTAATTTAAGAGCTCGTGTGGTTTTATAAGCAATTAAACTTAAATGGAATTGGAAACTTTTTTGAGATTCAATTATTTATGGCTTTACTTTTGGGATGGAGAAGCTGATGTGATTGTAGAGATAGAAAGTACTTGAGTTGTGCATTGAAAATTATTAAGGATTTATGATGAAATCTAGTAAAAAATGGTCAATAGTCACACACAGCACACGACTTTAGACACAAACCAGTTAAATTGGTCAATAGTCGTACACAGCACACGACTTTAGACACAAAATAGTTAAATTGGTCAATAGTCACACACAGCACACGAATTTAGACACAAACCAGTTAAATTGGTCAACAGTCGAACACAGCACACGAATTTAGACACAAATCAATTACGTGGGTCAATAGTCGCACACAGCACACGACTTTAGACACAAACCAGTTAAATTGGTCAACAGTCGAACACAGCACACGACTTTAGACACAAGCTAGTTAAATTAGCCAAAAGTCGCACACAACACACGATTTCAGACACAAAATAGTTAAATTGGTCAATAGTCACACACAGCACACGAATTTAGACACAAACCAGTTAAATTGGTCAATAGTCGTACACAGCACACGATTTTAGACACAAATCAATTACGTGGGTCAATAGTCGCACACAGCACACGACTTTAGACACAAACCAGTTAAATTGGTCAACAGTCGAACACAGCACACGACTTTAGACACAAGCTAGTTAAATTAGCCAAAAGTCGCACACAACACACGATTTCAGACACAAAATAGTTAAATTGGTCAATAGTCACACACAGCACATGATTTTAGACACAAACCAGTTAAATTGGTCAATAGTCGCACACAGCACACGACTTTAGACACAAACCAGTAAAACTGGTCAATAGTCGTACACATCACACGACTTTAGACAAAAACCAGTTAAATTTGCAAAAAGTCGCACACAGCACACGATTTTAGACACAAACTAGTCGCACACAATACACGATGTCAGACACTATGTCTCTATGACTCCAATCATAGCTATTATCATCTAGTCAACAATCTCATAACATTTAAAACCGACTCTCTTCCCCCTCTTGTTCCACAAATGCATCGATAAATCCTCAATCACAAAAACATATTGAACAAGAAAAACCTGCAAAATATTAATTGTAAAATATGAATCCATGCGTGTCTAATTGGTAAAATTTTAAAAGCACAAAATTTGTTCTGTTGGCATAGAATCGAGAGAGTGCAAATGGGCAAAAAGTTTATGAATCGAAATGACTTTTTGGTGCTTGTGGATTTTCTAGTGGATGCAATAAATTATGAAACTCACAAAAGGCTTCGTTAGTTTTGTGCAATTTTGGAACGTGAATTGTAGAAATTATGAGGGAAGCAGATGATGTTGGTTATGGGAATTATTTTTTGAGAGGTATTTTAATGGCTTTGTTTTTCTTTTTGGGGGTGTGGTGATGGAACTGGCATGAAAATTGTGGATATTAGTATAGATTTGAGTTTTGTTTTGATGAATTTAACATTTAACTTCAAAGTGCCAATTTTAAATTAATTCTTCTTTTTATTCTGTTGCTGACCTAAACCTAACCTATGCTTAACCTATACCTAACCTATACCTAACCTATACCTAACCTATACTTAACCTATACCTAACCTATACCTAACCTATACCTAACCTATACCTAACCTATACCTAACCTATACCTAACCTATACCTAACCTATACCTAACCTATACCTAACCTATACCTAACCTATACCTAACCTATACCTAACCTATACCTAACCTATACCTAACCTATACCTAACCTATACCTAACCTATACCTAACCTATACCTAATCTATACCAACTCCAATGCCACATCATCTTCGAATCTTAACCTCAAATGTCACTTCAATTCCATTATTTTCTCATTGTTCTTCTCAACTCCCTTAGTTTCCCCCCAAAAGTGCAGCACAAAGTTTCAAGCAACTTCTCAACCAAAGCAATAAAACTTTAGTTCCACTACGAATCAAAAATAAGAAAAAACTTTTAAAATAATAATTTTTTTGCTCACTTACGCTGCATGAAAAGTCATCAGTCAATGTCACATTCACAATGCATTTCACATTTTTCTCTGCCAAAATGTCGCATGAAGCTTCGTGCATGTCGCCTGAGATATAAAAAAGAAGTCATACACAAACCAAAATACGAGAAATGAAAGAGAAAAAATCGAATGGAAAAGGTTGAAGTTGAATGAAGATGGTAAAAACTACTTCTGAGAAATTTTTTGTGCTAAAATGTCAAAAGTTTTTTTTTTGTGTTGTTGGAAAATGAAAAATGGATGGAGATTGTGCTTGATGAGGAGAAAATTTGGAAAGAAAAAAAGGAGCTTATTTCCTTAGTTGAAGGACAATTGGAATGAAAAATGGTCAAGCTTCTGTGAATGAAAATGCAAATTTCAACTTAGAATTTGTGAGTCAATAACCTCAAAATTTAAGAAAATTTCAAATTATAACCTCAAAATTTAAGATAATTTCAAATTGTAACCTCAAAATTTAAGAAAATTTCAAATTGTAATCTCAAAATTTAAGAAAATTTCAAATTATAACCTCAAAATTTAAGAAAATTTCAAATTGTAACCTCAAAATTTAAGAAAATTTCAAGTTGTAATCTCAAAATTTAAGAAAATTTCAAATTATAACCTCAAAATTTAAGAAAATTTCAAATTGTAACCTCAAAATTGAAGAAAATTTCATATTCTAACCTCAAAATTTAAGAAAATTTCAAATTGTAACCTCAAAATTTAAGAAAATTTCAAATTATAACCTCAAAATTTAATAAAATTTCAAATTGTAACCTCAAAATTTAAGAAAATTTCATATTCTAACTTCAAAATTAAGAAAAATTTCAAATTATAACCTCAAAATTTAAGAAAATTTCAAATTATAACCTCAAAATTTAAGAAAATTTCAAATTGTAACCTTAAAATTCAAGAAATTGAATTTCTAACCTTAAAAACAAAAACTTTAGTTCTAACCTCAAATTCTCGAAAAGTTTGAATTCTAACCTCATAAATTCTACAATTTATTTTAACGTCAAAAAGACAAGTCACAAACTCATGAACCAAACTCACCATAATTCATTCCCACAGCACTAGATGCTGATGGTCATAAAATAGCATCTCAAAATATGACACGTGCATCTCGTCTACATGCTAAGATAAATAAATCCTAAAATTACAACAAACTTTCCAGTTTTCAAACTCGTCCTGTCCGAAATCTATTGAATCCATCAATACGATATGAGATTCGTACTCAACCACACCACAGGGATGAATTTACAAACTGCATGGACATAAAAT